CCCCCCTTCCCCTCCCGCTCCCGCAGAACTCGCTAACTCCGTCCAGCATGCCAGTCCGCGAACTCGCCTTCTCCCACGACGGCGAATACCTCGCCACAGCGTCCGACGACCCCGGTCTCGATATCTGGGAAACAGAGACCGGCCTGCGCGCACTGCGCGTCCAGACTCCAGGGCCGGCGGCGAGCGTGGCTTGGCACCCGGGGAAATGGATTGTTGTGGCGGGGGGGGATGGGGGGGGGAGCGCGAGGATGGGGTGGTGTTGTTTTTTTGGGTTGTAGGGCAGGGTGGGGTGGAGGGGAGAGGTGAAGGTGGTGAGAGGTTAGAGGTTCGAGGTCAGAGGTTGGACAGCGATTATTATGCGAGTATGATACACTGTAAAAGTAGGAAGTAGTATGTAGCTGACCGACTACGGGTTTCGCACGCTCGCTCTCTAAACTCCCTAGTGCAGGTCATCCACCTCCTCCCAAGGCAAGTACTCCGGCTCATCCTGATCCATCCATTCCTCAGGATCATAATACTCCTCAACATCCACATCCCAGTCGCTCCCTTCCCCATCCCCATCCCCATCCGCCTCTTCCTCCCCATCCTCCCCATCCTCCCCATCCTCATCCTCTTCCTCCTCATCATCATCGTAATCATAGTCCTCTTTCTCCCGATCGCTCCCCTCAAAATACCCCAGCGTCGTCTGGCTCCTGATATACTTCTCATGCCTGCCCTTAATCGCCTGTTCGTCCCTAAACGGCACCAGCACCCTCGTAACAGGATGTCCCTGCACCTTCCTCCCTTCGACAAACATCGCCAGATCGTGTGCTGTCACATCTGTGGCCCAGAGCGTGTCCAGCTTGGGGAGCAAGACCGTTCCCTCCCTTTCCGGATCCCTGTCGTCCTCACATATCCCCGAGAGAAGGTCGTATAGCCCATTGAGGTGCAGTTGTCGCACCCCCGGGAGCCGGCGAAGGAGAGCAAGAAACTCGCTTTCTTCTATATCGCTAATGACGAACTTGAGCTTCCTGAGTGCGGGATACCGTTCGTCTGAGATAAGCCGGATCGGTTCTGTGTACTCGTCGTGCTCTAACGTGTCGAGGGAGAGGAACTCCAGGTTAGGCGCTTTGAGCATGTTTATCAGGTGGGAGAGGACCCAGGGGCGCACGTCCCCGATCTCTAAATGGACGAGCTGGGGCAGGCTGATTTCCTGCACTTTGGGGTAGTTCCGCGGATCGTCTTCTTCTGGTATATGCGGGCCTGCGGCCATGAGCACCAGTTTGGCTAGACACGGACAAGCACGGATCATCTGCACCCATTCTACCCAGGTCGGCCGGGACGCTGTTGGCAGGTACTCGAGTTCCAGCACGACGAGGTTGGAGAAGATGGGCGAGCACCAGTGGAGTGCTACTGAGTAGAGACATACTTGTCTGAGCTTGGGCGCTACGCCGCACAGGATCTCGACCGTCGGGAGTGGGCTCACTTCGTCTTCGTCAAAATCGGTGCGGGAGTCTATCAGTTCCAGGGAATGCAGTTCCGGCGCAGGCTCGCTCATCATCGATAAGGCGGTGAGGATGCCTAGTGCGTCTTGGGTGTGCAGAGAGATGGACGTCCAGCGTGAACAGGGCATGATGAGACTTAGCACTTCGGAGATCTTGGTCGGTCCTAGGTAGTCGGTGAGATCGAGGTCGACCTCGATCAGTTTCGCTCGTTCTAGCCAGAGCTTCGTGAGTGAGTAAGGTGGGCGTTCATCTAGGCATATTCGGGTCCATAGAGAAGATGTGGTGAGCGCAACATGCCTAGATACAGTACGTGGTCAGGCAGGGTATATGCGCGAGTGCGATGCGTACCGGAAACGACGATTGACGTGTGACAGTACCATAGGACCCATCCACTCCTCCTCCTCATCTTTTGGGACTTTCTCAACCCATTCCGGATCCTCCTTGATCTCCATCGCCATCTCGAAAATTTGTGCAAGCAGCTCATAGGGCAGTCTCACGATGGGTGTCGCGAGCATCACGAGCAGTTCTGCACGAGTGCGTTGCAGCACCTCAATTTCCACAGACACGTTCCGGACACAGTCCTTCCCCTGCTGCATCTCGGCTCCGTACTCGTCGAGTTGTCGATCCAGGTCTGCAAGTTGTTGGTTGACGGACTTTAGCCGCTCGGGGCGCGCGCCGGGTTCCACAACAGTACGGCTGGACGACGCCTGTGGCCATGTTCGTGACCTGAAACGATCCAGAGGCATGCGCGGACCGTTCTGAAATACGCGCAACAAGAACGTGTCAATCAGCGCTGTGTATATGCGGGGCGCTAGCTATGCAAGAGGACGGTGGTGGTGAACCGAGTGGCGGTTGCAGTCAACGCCGAATAAAGGCCGCTGGCTTGGCTTGAGTCATACGACCACCATCAATTTGCTCACATTCCCGTTGATGACTCTCCTTTGTCCTTATGCTCTGTCGCTAACAAGCAAAGAGTCTCCGGACCGAAGTTCCTGAAGGCATTGATCTCTTCTTCAATGGAAGTCATACTCGTCCTACGGTGCCCATCACTGGTACATGCTCGCCTGAACTGGTACAATAGCTGACATCTAATGCTGGTTCACTGTGTCGAACAACAAAGGCAACATTCTGCTGCTCACAGGCCCTAATCTCAATTGTCTCATCATGCATAGCGAGTACTCCAGCTGCTCTTTGATGGTTGTCGCCGACAAGTTTCCCTACCTGGCTTGGCATGGCTTACTCCCTTTGCCCGCTCGTGACAAATTATCACATGTGGGATCACCGAAAAATCTGCATGGGACGCTTCTCAGCCGTTGCTGATATGAGCTGAGATTACAAGATTGCCTAATGAAGTTCGGATATCACTTCCTTATATGGATGACCTGGTGATGGTGACTACATTCCGTGCAACTTTTGAAATCTCCCACGTGCAGACTTACAAACCCTTTGTCATGCTGAAACGGTTATCGCAGAGCTCCGTATCTCCTCCGCAGTCGTCCGTTTACCAATGGTTTTCCAACTTTCTCTTCGACATACACCATGGCAGGACCAGGGTACACCTACCCTGTTCCCAATGCAAAGCTGCATGAAGCTCTCAAGCTCGAAAAGCATATCGAGGGAGGGTACTACGCCGTCACCCACGTATCGGCACAGACGTTCCCTGTCTCCTCCCTCGAGACTACGGAAGGTCGCGAGCCAGAACAGGTCATCCGCCCGAAGACGAATGATCGGCGACTGCTCGGCACCACGATCTACTACCTCCTCGATCCAGCTTCTCCGAGGGGATACTTCCATATCAACGCGTCGACTACTATGCACTTCCACCATGCTGGTCGAGCCCGATATACCTTAATACGGCCATCGAAGACCGGCGGTGCTCCGGAAGTAAGCTATGCAACAGTGGGAGACAACCTCGAGGCTGGCGAGGTGCGGCAACTCCTCGTGGAAGGAGGCGTATGGAAGTGTAGCGAGATCCCTCCAGAAGACCTGGCTTCTTTAGGAGAGGAAGGGCTCACGGCGGAGGAGCTTGAGTCGAGGCGCGAGCGGATCGGTTGCTTAATCAGCGAGCTCGTTTTCCCTGGTACATCGGACGTTTTCTTAGTCAACCACCTGGTTTCTGACCCACTTGCTAGGTTTCGAGTGGGAGGATCATGCCTTCATGACTGTGCCCGATTTACACGGCGTATTCAAGAATGCGACGTCACCCGACGACTGGAAGAAGTTAGTGGACTATGTGCGGCCTGACACTCGCTAGTTGTTTTCATGGGTTTGAATGGATATGGATGCGAAAGGTGGCCCAGTCGATCAATAGGATGGCATACATTAGACGGGCAGGTTTATCAACTTGGAATAAACAACAAAGTCCTTGGCTTGCTTGCATAGATGTACAGGTATCTAATGGTACAATTGCCTGATAGAAACTATAAAGACGAGTGGAAGCTTGCATATGTGACAGGAATGTGAAAGTGAATCATGCACGGAGAGAAAAAATGCAACATGTTGAAATATGCGATAAGTAGTGCTGGAGCAGTGTTGAGACTGATCAAAGGAAAGGCACGTTCTCCATCACGCCAGTAGCGAGAAGATCGTCTTCGAAGTCGTCGTCCCCCAATGGGCTCTTGGCCGCAGCAGGCCATTCGTCATATTCCTCTCCCTCCCCTTCCGCCTGGTCATCGTCCTCCAGCTCATCCCGACGAGGCATCCAGCTCCCGTCCTGGGGCTCTGGTGAGCCAGGCATCGACCCAGGCATGCTATGGGTATCCGTCGGGCTCCGACTAAGGGCAAAGTCTTCGTCCTCCGAGAGTGACTCTGCAGTGTAGGCACTGACAAGCGGGCTAGTCGGGCGGGCAGGCTTTGCTTCCTTGGCATCTGCGTTGCCGTTCGGCGTGCTATCGCCAGACTTGGAACCCATGATCGTCGACCTAGTTCCCGGTAGTCCGAGGGTGAAGTTCCTTATTCTGTTCAGCCGGCTAGAAGTGTCCGATCGCGCGCTGAGCGCAGGGGAAGGTGGCCGAAGATCCGGAATGTCGATATTGGGCATTGGGGTACGCCAGTAATTCAGGTCAGTGAACTCCTGAGCCCACTTCCGATGCACAGGTGGGAACATCTGGTCCACCAAATCGGTCATGTGAATATAAGATGACTTGTATCCCGCCAGCTCCAGAAGCTCCATCTTTACAACCCCAGAGGAATCGATCGTAAAGATACGACCGGAGGGGATGTTGACGGAACGGTATGACAACGCGTCGGTGATACGATTGCCGAAACCGGCATAGAAGGCATGCTTATTGGTGTGGCCGAAGAGCTTCTGGATATCCCGCAGGCAGGCCATCTTGAACACCTCTGGCTTACGCATGATCACCTCCCTAAGCAAGTTTAGTGATCTGACATGTTACAGGAGCTAATTCACTCACCGATGCAACGCCGCGATCAGCCGATCGGGGCTCATGATAACCGGACCTTCTGGTAATTGGTAGTTGTTCTGGTTGATCCCCTTGAGATACTCTCTCGTCGAGTCCGCCTGACCGATGGCCCTCGAAGTCAAGTACATGATCTTATACCCATTCCTGCATATATCCGTGTACAGCTTCGCCACGCCCGAGTGTGTCCAATCCCTGCCGATCATGGTGAACACATGCCCAAGCGCGTCGCTCTTCGTGATCGTGCCGTCAATGTCCGAGACGACGAGCTGGTCAGTGTTCTGCCAAAGGAAGATACGTGCGGTGCAGACGACCGCAGCGCTCGAAGAGAGTGAGAAGGAGACAGTATTGGGTCCTGGTTTGAGCTGCAACTGTTTGAGCTGGTCCGAGGTCAATCTGAGCGCCTTTGCATATGTCTTGACCTGCGGTTTCTCGGGTTCAGTCCGGTCCAATGGGCCGCTTGCGGACTCGGGAAGCGCAGGGGGGCTCTCGACGACTGTCGATGGAGGTGTAGAATTCCCACGACGCATTGTCGTATCTGACTTGGGAGGCTCCAAAATATCGGCCTGGGATGAGATCGAGTCACCCGCCGCCCGACGTGTCCACCAACGCGACCAACCGCTCGTGCTCGCGCGACTCAAGCTCGCTGGAGGGCTGGGTTGACGTTCCGGGGAGCCGGAAGCCAGGTCCACCGGGGCAGCCTCAAGCCGCCAGCGAGCGAGAGCGGGGAAAAGAGGAGAGAAATCTTCACACGTGATGTACTTCTCATCCCAGCGCATAACAAGGTTCGGGTCGTCCACTATGCTCTCCGACTCGACGAAGTCCTTGTACGTTACGAGCCTGGCCTGGAACGCCGTCGCGTTCTCAAACTGAATGTATGGGCTTAACAACCTGCATACATTACCCCGGCGAAAGTGGACGTACCTCACTTCCCCTGACTGCCTCTGGCCCACATAAACTCAATTCGAAGGAAGTGCGTTTATCGTCAAGCTCCAGTCCAAATTCTTCCCCAGTCTTGCTCTTGGGGTATATCTTTCCTCCCACACCGAGCATAGTTTTCTCCTCCTCCTCGACCTCTATACGAGGGCGGGCCGTCTGTGGGGTGGGGAGCGAACCCCATTCCCAGGTGTAGTCGGGCATGGTATTTGCGGCCGGGAGCTCGGACAGGGACAGGGAGAGGTGAGGGAGAACAGGAGTGGAAGAGGATGCGCCTTGACTACGGAGATGCTGTATGCCAGATCTTCCAAAATGTCAGAAAGTATGTCTCCAAAGTATAACTTATTGTCTTACGGTGTTAGAGGTTCTGGCTCCTCACTCACAGCTCGGAGAGTAGTCAAACTTGTATCCGCCTCAAGATCCTGCTCGTCACGTTCCATGTCGGGCGGAGGCTCACTGAGCGCCCGAATCGGAGGGACAACCTTCCTTTTCGAGTTCTCAATCGTAGCCTCTTCGTCGTCTGGCTTTGGCGAGCTACAACCAAGCAAGGTGTCGGTCCATGATCGAGGTTGGGTGTCATCCTCGCGGTCTTCATGGTCGCCTTCCGGGCGCAAGTTAGGGGCGGCATCGGGATGCACATGATATCCTTCCATGTCGAGCACCACATCTTGCCTGTACTCTACATTATGCGATTGTATTGCTTCAGGAAGTTGGGGAAGGTTGTGAATCGTCTCGGAAGGCTCATAATTGGCTTTGGAAGCAGGAGGCGGTTGTGAGGGGCTGCGGACCGAATCTTTGTCTTTCTCAGATGATGCAGATAACGATGTTGGTGGGGTGGATGCGCGGGAACCTGGTGTGGATGGGCGGGACGTGGAGGGGAAGGAGGGAGATTGCAATTCAGGGGCGGTTGCAATGTTCAAGTCTAAGAAGGGCGGTTCCTGCGCATATATGAGCTTCACGCTCTACGTTTCGTATGGTTTCATGCTCACAGCATACTCCGACCGGTCCAGTTGCTGCACTTCCTGCATCCCAATTCCATACGGTTTTGAACCGAATCGATCCGTCTTGGGTTCTTTATCGACTGTATGCTGCGCGCCTGGCTCGCACGGTCCCAAGATCGGACTCGTCTGCATTTCCCGGGGCACTTCTCCTTCGGTCTCGCAGACGAAGAAGGCTTCGCCCGCCTCACCGATCTTCATCGGGAATGGAGTGACTTTCCCATTGACGATTACTGTAACCTATGACTTATTCGTCAGCGCTAGTTCTCCTATCGCTCGATTGTCAAACATGACGCACCTGGTTCTCCGCTGGTCGCAGGATCTGCAGCTTGCCAAATCGCACATGAAAAGGCGTACAGGCGAGGACGGTCTCCCCGGGTTTCGCCCCAATGTCTGATGGTTCTGCTGGTCGCTCGATGACGATGACATCGATTGCGCCTGTGAGGGTAGCCGCGTTGATGGGTGGTAGATCGCGGTAGTATTGGTAAGCGCCTCGCAAGTAGTTCATCGTTGTGCTGGAAGGAGTGGCTACCGAGAGAATAGGTTGTTGAAGTGGGAGGTGGATACCGCTGGTGCCAGTTAACGAGAGTGGAGATGCAAGACCGAGTCAGTGATGTTGAGGAAGAAGGGAGGCTTAAAGAGGGACACGCGACTGCGGTCCCGGTACGAGCTGGCGAACCACTTAAAAAGGGAAGCCTGCCCCAAATGATGTGCTTGATCCTAGCGGAGAGCAAGTTGGGGGAATTGAAGATGGTAGATGACAAAGTATACCCAAACAGGAGTGTGCGCTGTAAAAGTTACAAACAGACCTTGTTTGGGGAATGACCGGAGCTATGGCGGGGCCGGCCAGCCCCAATAACCCAATCGAATCGCCATCCTCCGACGGAGCGGTGCACGCGCTCTTCCGGCAACCATCTATTCGCTTCCGCTGAATGTGATTTCGCTCTTTGCACCCTGCCCCAGCGGTTCTTGTCCTTGAGGGAATATTAATGTGTGGAGGATCGGGCATGCACGTGCGACCTCATTTTGACCAAGTCATAGAGTTGGGACCCACATTATTATCAGGAACAATTGTATGCTGCAACTTACCCATCCATGCTATAACCAAGCATCCCCATTCAGATTACCAACATCATCTTTCTTCATCATCTTCCAACTCCAACCATGATCCGGCACGGCCTCGCGTGACCCTGTGCAGCCTCCATCAACCCCTCTCCACCTTCCCCGCATCGATTGCGAACGCATTTCGAATAGAAACTGGCTGCAGAGCTTTTCGATCCATTGAGCTTATGCCCGGCTTACTGGACCGAGAGGCGCCCAGAAGTCTTTGCGGTGTCATACATCTTCCAACCGTTCCAACCGTTCGCAAGTCTAGGAGATCCATAGGATCCGGAACGTCATGCGAGCGCAACAAAGTATCCGGTGGTCTCTGCCGCATCTCCAAAGCGCCCATGCGGATGATGGATGGAGACGCCGGCCATGAACAGAACGAGTCATATCCTCGAGTCAATGTGTATTACGTCATCACTCTCCCTCTGCTCCCGTGCTTCCCAGATCACACTCCGTCAAGCATTCAGGGTCCGAATTCCCCTTGTCCGCTTTGTCGCAAATTGCCACCAGGTATTCTGCACTTCTCGATGCCCTTTGATCACGCGTGCTCCTCCTACTCGTGCGTGTGCTTTCTCCTAGAATGGAGATAGACGAACAAAAGCGCCCGCAGTCTGGTGCACCGAAGGGGACGAGAGATCTAAAGGCTCACGAAGTGATCGACCTCACTCGATCGATTAGCGCTCCACCCAGCCCGGTACGCTCCAAGTCGCCCACGGTCATCGTCATCGAATCAGATTCTGAGCTCGCGAAGCCGGCTTCGAGCTTACGAGTGCGGAAACCATTGGTCAACGCGCATGAGAGAGACGAATTGGAGGCGGGAGAGGAGCCGCCGAGGAAAAGGAGAGCTGTTGCCGTTGAGCGCCAAAATGGAGAGACGAGGACGGCTGTGCCTGTACCGCCCAGCGCGGGGCCTTCGTCCTTCCAGCCGAGCGAGAAGGTGGAAGTGGAACGCGTCCCGGATGAGAAGGTTATCGAAATCTCCGAACCTTCAAGCTCAAGCGCGCCTAATAGACTGCCTGAGGAGACGGAGAAAGAGGCAAAATCTGGAGCAAAGGGCGAACGAAAACGCAGGAACAAGGCGCGCAAGCAACAGGAGATTGCGAAGCTTTACGGCATTGAAGGGCTCTTTGGAGGCAATGGAGCTGAAGCAAGCGGCTCTGGAAGGACAACAGCGAATGCTTCTGGTGTTACGACTCCGGCAGAGAATGCCCCCCCTTTAAGACTAATAGATCGACTAGAGAAACGAGGTACAAGTCCCCGAGCTTCTAGGGATGGAGAAAAGACAGACAAACGCCAGATACGCGAATGGGACAGGGGAAAGCCAGAGTTACGAGAGGAGCGTCAGGACACGAAAGGAAAGGGCAAAGAGAGAAGGAAGCAGGTATGCGGAAACACTGTGTACGCGTGGTTCACGTTTTGAGTCATTTATAGTCGGACACGCCCTTGTTCTTCATGGACGTCACGCGGGACGCTGCGTCTCCGCCGCAGGATCTGCCTGCGTCTGACTACGACGAAGAGGATGAAAAAGAGGTCCTTGATGTTCAGATCCTCCCACCAGATTCCGGTCTTCTCCTCCCGAACCACATCAAACTTGTCAACCAAGACCAGATGGAAGAAGCAGAACTCGAACAAGATATGCAGATGAGCGACGAGGCGGAGTACAACGAACTAGAGACGAGCAAGGCTGGCCTAGGGCCGGGCTCGAGGTATTATGAGGTCGCGGAGCGTATAGAGATGGGAGAGGAACCCATTTGTGGGTTCTGCAAGCAGATGGGTCATACGACAAAGCAGTGCCGTCAACAGGTCGTAAGTTAGCTTGTGGATGACGACGTGGAAAGGCGCTGATAGCATTCTCAGTGCCTCAATTGCGGGGCTGTTGATGAGCATTACACAAGAAACTGTCCTGATCGCCTATTATGCTTCAACTGCTCGCAGAAAGGTCACATATTGAAGGATTGCCCAGAACCGAAAAAGAAATCGTTTGAACGAGTCTGCGAGAAGTGCGGCTCGTTGAGCCATCGCGCACTGGTAAGATATGCTTTCCCCCTTATGACGTGTAGCTCACTCGGATCTCCAGAGGTGTCCTACCCAATGGCGCATATACACCTATCTCACTCCGCAAAACAAGATGGAACTCGAAAATGAAGCACGCCACTCCGTTATCAGTGTCCTAGAAGGCGGCACAATCGAGTGCGGAATAGATCCGTGGTGTGCAAAATGTGCAGGTCGAGGACACTGGCTGGATGACTGTCCCCACTCCCGCCCTGGAGAGCCTACTGCTTTCGGATGGCACAACGCCCTGAACAGTCCGTTCGGTGACCTGATATCCGGTAACCCTTACCTGGACACTCCAACCTCGGGGCGAGGATCGCAACTGAGTAGGAGACAAAAGAAGCAACAGCAGCGCGCTCGCGAGAGAGAACAGGATGTTGATAACGACGACGATGCTTTCGAGAATTTGCGGCGGAATGGTCGACAATCGCGCAACCGTCCAAATAACGATAAGGGTGGGGAGAAGAAGGGGACGCATGTGTTCTTTCGTTCCTCACCCGAACCTCGACATCCACTGCCTCAGCGCCCTGCGGACGACCACAGCGAGTGGCGAGATCGCAATGAGCCTGACAACAGGAAGGATGACTATAAACGTGATCGATACCCCAAAACGCGGGATTATGCAGATTCCAGAAGAGCGCGAGAGGAAGACGACGATTACTATGGCACGAATAACAGGCGCCGGGCACCGGGGCAGAGATATCACGGTGGCTATAGTCGCTGATATGCACGTCAACCGCATGTATTTTAGCTAATACTCTTGCAACATGATATCTCTCGATGAACGCGATGCGCATCTCCGTTATCAGATTGTGAACCGGACGTTTCCTCTGGGTCTCGATCTGCTGGAGGTATGTATGACCAGCCAATGCCATCGCAGTGTATTAGGTTGGTGGCAACTCCATGCCTATCCACCTCTTCTTCGATCGTGAATCTAGCGCTCGTCATCTGTTCGGCTACCCATATAGCCGCTCTGCGCATAATCAGCAAGAGCATACATAGAGGATATAGGTTTCGTACTTGGTATGGAGCGTCAGAGGTCCGGTTCGTATGGTCGATCTCCCTCCGGCCAACGCGAGAAAGATGATCATCTGATCCTGCATATACTCGTCCACACATCCTCCTTCCAACAAGTTCTTCCCCAACTCTCGGGCTGCCTCTTCACCCACTTCTTTCACACTTTTGCCTTTGACTCCCAGAGCCGAACCGGCAAGGACACAACCCGTATTTGTCCTGGCCACTAGGACGATACCCATGCCAGAGCCGATGCAGTTCTGGTCTTTGAGAATGTCCACTGTGATGTCGTGCACCCCCGCGAGATGACCTTCGTCCCGCATGCAGTCTAGAGCAGACGACCTGAGCTCGTGCACCAGGTGCTGTGGCAAACTCCCTGCAACGTAGGCGATCCCAGAGACGGAGATGACTTTGCCTCGTTCTTTCAGGTCCATGGGAAGCAATGTACCCGAGATCGATGGGACAGAAACATGCAGCTCGCCGCCTCCTTTTGGCCAATACCCTCGCTGCTTGATGTCCAATCTCACATCGATTCCAAAATGCTGCTTCAGGAATGGAAGGAAGACTCGCTGGATGTAGTCCACTTGCGGTGCCTGCACGGCATTCGTCCCACCGCGGAGCGTTAAAGTGGAATACGAGTCAGGAGGAAGACAGATTAAGCACGGAAGAGAGATTTGAAGAAGTAAAGTTGTTGACCCAGCGGTCTGCGGGTCCGCCGTATAGTGGCCGGAAGTCGTAATGCCGGGTTGGAAGATGATGCTCTGAGACTTTACGTCTGCACCTTCGAACTGACTACCTTCCGATATCTGTGAGACAAGTACAAGTCCTATAAGTACTTGTCAATATCTAGTCTGTAATTGATTACAAACATACCAACCTGCCGCATGCTGTGCTTTGAGCCCCGGCTGGTCACGGCCCACCCGAATCTTGTCGATCCTGAGAGATCGGCGCAAAATTGCCGCGTAGCTCATAGCATTTCTCAAAATCTGGCCGCCTCCTATAATTAACCATTAGAGGTGGCATAAAAGGAGCGTAAAAACCTCTAGCCTTCGAGCACTGAGCCATCTAAAACGACATGTTCTGTATTAGATGTCATCGATTCGCAATGGTATCGGGTCGTAGCGTGGGTATGTGAACGTGATGACTCGGCACTCACAGATACGGGAAAGCGAGATTGGGTAGAAGCCTATATGACAAGCTCTACCGTCTGAAAGCTACACTTCTCAAAATGCAGAGGGGTCATAATGATAAACGAGCGAGCACCGCTCATTGCGGCCAGAGACTGTCGGAAGCGTGGCTCCGAGAGCTTCAACATCATTGCCTAAAATGGATGCTTATGGAATTCACGTTACCGGAGCCAAAATTTCGACCCTAGCGCCAATATTTGGTGGGCGAGGACTTTGATAGTCAAGAGCTCACAGCAGCTTCCAACATACAAAAAGGTCGTAATGCCTCCTCCTGGACCCATTCCACCAGGTTATGATACCATCAATCGGACGAATCTGTTTCGAAACCCACCATCCGACGGAACATCAGTCCCAATTTTGCATGAGCTAGTAGCTCCCCACATACAGAGCTTCAACGCGCTGTTCGATGCTTCTGGACCAGGCGAGACAAAGGGATTACTCAAGCTTGGTATTGAGGATATTGGAGAGAAAGTAGTATTTGAGCGGTATGAGGATGGTGAGCCAGCCAGCGGAGCAAGGTTGTCAAGTGCGTATGTGTATTTCTAGGCTGTTTCATAGTTAACGGCGTCTTTAGTACGAATCAAAGATGTCATTGTCGGCAGACCCATGGTACCGGATCGGGATCGAGTATCGAAAGAACGGAGGGTATTTCCATTTGAAGTGGGCACATACCAATGATAATGTCAAACCCTGCTCAACTTCACCACAGGCACGAGAGCGCTTGACCTCATATCGTGGTCGCATGTCGATTAAGTTGGCATGGTCTGTCGATGGTGGTCAGGAGGAGGATGACACCCGAGATTGCGGTTTATTACCTATTATGGTCCGAGTGCGTACCTTGTTGCCCTTTCCACATCTCCATCTGTTCTAACATCCTACCAGTCCGATCGATGTAACCTCAAAGGCATGTCCTCCGCCGAACTTGTGGCGCACCATGAAGAAGCTGAGGAATTTGGCGGCTACTTTCTCATCAACGGAAACGAGCGTCTCATCCGATATCTCATCCTGCCCCGACGAAATCACGTCATGTCACTAATCCGACCCTCATACACCAACCGAGGAGCCAGCTATACTCAGTACGCTGTAACAATGCGATGCGTTCGGCCGGATCAGACGAGTTTGACCAACTCACTGCATTACCTCGTGAACGGGACCGCTATGCTGCGTTTCAGCTGGAGAAAGCAGGAATATACCATCCCGATCATGCTCATTCTGAAGTGCCTCATGGGGGCCAGCGACAAGGAGGTATTCGAGGGCATCGTAATGGGCGACTACCAGAACACATTCCTGCTCGATCGAGTGGAGCTGCTTTTACGGAGCTTCAAAAACTACTCATTGCCAACATCACAGCAGTGCCTCGAATATTTGGGCCACAAGTTCCGAGTGGTGCTGAACTTGCCAGATGACTGGGAGGACGTACACGTAGGGTCTTGGCTGATCAACAAGGTCATCCTCGTTCACCTGCCGGCAGCAAGAGAGAAATTCCGCATGTTGCTTTTCATGCTTCGAAAGCTCTACTCGCTGGTCTCTGGTGCGTCGTGTGCCGACAACCCGGACTCCCCACAGAATCAAGAGATACTGCTCCCTGGCTCTTTGTACGCTATGGCGATTAAGGAGCGACTGGAGGACGCATTGAATCAGATCCGCAATATGGTGACGCTGGATCAAAGACAGGGTGTTCCGATCGACTTCCACAATAAGAAGTATCTCAATCGGCTATTCAAGAAGATCAACTTCGACGTCGGTGCTCGGATGGCCAACTTCCTCGCCACAGGCAACTTGATCTCCCCCACAGGTCTTGATCTGCAACAAGCTGCCGGCTTCACCGTCGTTGCGGAGAAATTGAATTGGTACCGATACATCAGCCATTTCCGTTGCGTTCATCGTGGTGCTTTCTTCGCCGAGCTGAAGACGACGACTGTGCGAAAGCTGCTCCCAGAATCATGGGGTTTCGTCTGTCCGGTACACACACCCGATGGAGCGCCATGCGGTCTGCTCAACCATCTCTCCCGATCATGCCTTATCGTCACCTCCACTCCATCCGTCTCGCACATCCCGGCCCTACTCTCCTCACTCGGAATGACCGAAGCCTTCTCCACGCACGTTGATGGCCGGCAAAATCTTTGCGTCCAGCTCGACGGCCGTGTCATCGGCTGGGCTAGTCCGACAATCGCAGGTCAGCTAGCAATTGCCCTCCGATTATGGAAGACAGAAGCGAAGCACAACGTTCCTCTGGATCTCGAGATCGGCCTGGTTCCAGAATCAAAAGGTGGTCAGTATCCGGGGTTGTTCCTGTTCTCCCAAAAAGCTCGTATGATGCGACCAGTCAAATATTTGCCGAATGACCGGATCGACCATATTGGATCATTCGAGCAGGTTTATATGGATATCGCCATTGAGCCTCAGGAGATCATCCCGAATGTGTCGACTCATGTCGAGCTATCGCCAACGAACTTCCTCTCAATCCTTGCCAATTTGACCCCTTTTTCGAACTTCAACCAGAGCCCGCGTAATATCTACCAGTGCCAGGTACGTTAGGCTTCTCGGACCTTTCCTTGAAACCGCTGACACGATTTAGATGGGTAAACAATCCATGGGAACGCCATCAACAGCGCTCAGCCGTCGGACTGATAACAAACTGTACCGTTTGCAGACTGGTCAGTCTCCCGTAGTTCGTCCAGAGCTTCACAACACCTACGGCATGGACCATTTCCCCAACGGGACAAACGCGATCGTCGCCGTCATTTCCTACACGGGATACGACATGGAAGACGCTATGATTATCAACAAGTCCGCGCACGAGCGGGGGTTCGGCCACGGGACGATCTACAAGACGCATGTGCTCGACTTGACCGAAGTCAGGGGTTCACAAAAACGTTCCGCGACGCCGAATATCCACTTTGGTATTGGCACTGATATACGACCAGACGATAAACGCCGGGAGTTTGTCGACTGGGACGGGCTGCCGTTTGTTGGCACGCGGCTGTTGGAGGGAGACCCCATGGGGGCGCATATCGATGACACGACAGGCCGTACCGTGTTCGACAAGTACAAGGGCATCGAGGTTGCTTATGTCGATACCGTTCGGCTGCTAGGGGGCGACGCGGGTGACACCGAAGCGCAAAAGATGCAAGTGACGCTCCGGATCCCCCGCCCCCCGGTGATAGGAGACAAGTTCTCCTCCCGGCACGGGCAGAAAGGTGTCTGTTCCCAAAAATGGCCCGCGATCGACATGCCCTTCAGCGAGAGCGGTATGCAGCCTGACGTGATCATCAACCCCCATGCGTTCCCGAGTCGGATGACAATAGGCATGTTTGTGGAGAGCATGGCTGGGAAGGCTGGGGCACTGCATGGATTGGCTCAGGATGCGACGCCCTTCAAATTCTCGGAGGAAAATACTGCGGTGGACTTCTTTGGCAAACAGCTGAGTGCGGCGGGGTACAACTACTACGGGCACGAGTCGATGTATTCCGGGATCACGGGGCAGGAGTTCGCAGCTGACATATACATCGGCGTGGTGTACTACCAGCGGTTGCGGCACATGGTCGACGACAAGTTCCAAGTGCGCACCACGGGACCCGTGGATCCCGTCACCCGCCAGCCAGTGAAAGGGAGGAAACGCGCAGGTGGAATCCGGTTCGGGGAGATGGAACGCGACGCACTTATCGCCCATGGAACGTCTTTCCTCCTCCAGGACAGGCTTATGAACTGCTCGGACTACTCCACTGCCTGGGTTTGCAGGACTTGTGGCAGCCTCATCTCACTGGGATACGATGATATCGCCCTTGGGGAAAGTATTATGGCTGGCAGGGGGTTCTCGTCGCGCAAGGTGAGCGGGCCGTCAGGCGAGTACTGCCGTGTTTGCAGAGGGAGGGAAGAGGAGAAGGAAAGGCGCGAGCGGGCGGCGCTCGATGCTCCTCAAGCACAGGCACAGGCACAGGCACGGGTAGACCTGACATTCGCCTTACCCAATGGGAACGTGCTCAAGAAGAGCGGGGATATGGACGTCGTCGCTGTGCCGTATGTGTTTAGGTACTTGTGTGCGGAGTTGGCGGCCATGGGGATCGCTGTTAGCTTGGAGGTCAAGTAGTTGTCATCGCTAGTTCTTGGATATCATTTACGTAATTCCCATTATCGGTTCCATCGATCGGCAGATGCCGACCTGGATGAGGTGTACACTTTCCGTCAGTTGCTGAGTCATACCGCCGGCCACTCTAACTCAGAGTTCAATGCATACGCTCCGGGCCAAACTCACCGGTGCATTGCGTCGCCGCAAATGAGTTTCCGAGTAAGCCCGAGTCCCACAAATCGTCTACTAGTTATGTCTATTCATGAGTTTGTGGTATCACGAGCTCTTGATATTGCTGACCCGGTTTTTGAGCGATCTTTTGGTGTCACATGTGGGCGTTTGGGATAGGGGATGTGGTGTTTACCTGTGATCTACATGTTTTGTATTTATCACCTTTAGCGCTGTTTAGGAAACGACGTTTGCCAGGTCGGAGCATGCAAACACTGTATGTCACGCAGTGCGTATTCCCGAGGAGACCATGGCGATCACGGAAATTGTTGTGCTCTGTACTTGGATAGATGCACGTCCGTTTGATCTATCGAGCCTAAGCCAAGGTATGGACGCATCACAGAGAAAGTGACGATCGACAAGACGCGATGATCGGGCGATTGCGCCCCTCTCCGGAGCCGATGTAAGGCCGGTTATCAGGTGCCTACACCCCAAAAGGGTCCGTTATATTCACATGGTATGATGGTGTGAGATGTGGCTCTTCCCTCTGTTCCACTTTGATTGCCTATTCTCGGCCAAGTCGAACCGCTCTACGACCGATGTGCTCAGCATTCCCCCTCTCAGAGAACGTGCTCATCCCTATCACGGGGTTATGTACATCCACATGGCAACAAAGGATTAAGCTCACAACTCTCATCTCTTTTCAACGGTCATTATTTACTCGAGAGGGGGCGACAAGCGGCGCTTGCTCTTGACCATCGTCTATCTTCTTACTCAAGCCACCGCTTGACATTCTTCTTCACTCTACTGGAAAACATCGGCTTCCCCTGACCCCCCTCCTCGGGGGGAACAACACACGCCGTCATCACTCTACATCCATCTGCGACACACAATGCTCTCCTACCCGCGTCCACCCCCTCCTTCCCGCCGTCCCCTTCCTCCCAACACATCCTCTGATACGTTTGGTCCTCTCGTACCTTTACCCACTAGCAACACCGGATCCACCTGTTTAACATCCAGCAGCTCCCGATCGAGTGGTTCGATCCCCCTGCACTCACCAGCAACGCAAGCAGCGAAAATGCTCAATATCGATCTTTCTTCTTTCGCTTCCACGAGATCGATCGCCTCCCTCGCTCTGTCGGGATCACCCAAAGAGGCTGGGACAGAGAAGGAAAGCGAGGAGTGGACGGAGGATGTGCTTGCTCCGAGATCGAGGCAGGAGCTGCAAAAGATGCTCTTACGCGCTGAGAAGGTCATCCGCGCGCGTGAACGAGGTGCGTCATCTTTACCCTCAGATGTATGCCCCTGACCCCTATGTAGAACTCGGTCTCGCAGCGAGCATCGGTAAACAGTTGCTGCAGCGGAATGAAGCCCTTAGGAGAAAACACGAACGGCTCCTACAACGATTCCCACCTATCTCTCCTTCACCAAACTCGGGCTCCCTCCGCTCCGCATCCTCCTCGATAGACTCCTTGCGCAGCGTACGATCCATGATATCTCTGGGTGGCGACGCGAGCGTAGAGACAACAAGTTTCCGTGCGAGCCTGTTTGGACTCGAGGGGGACGAGTGGTCAGAGAGCTCCGTTACTCCCCAGCCACCGGGTTCCCCGCGCACTCTATCCGGAAACTCTCCCCGTGCTGCAGGAGGGGGGATGTTCCGCACTCCTCCGCGTTCGCGTAATTCGACCGTATCCTACACGCACACGCGAACTCGCACGCACACGCATACACGCACCCCCTCTCTCGCCCTTCTCTCATCCCAGAATGCGGAACTGCACCAGCAACTCGAGCTGCTCCAATCTGAAGCGCTAGAACAGGAAAAGGACGGTCAGAGGAAACTGAGAGAGCTCAGGCGAGAGATCGTTGGTTTGAGGGGGGAGCTAGAGGGGTGGAGGAAGGAGGAGGAGGAGAGGATCGAAGGAGAGCGGGAGGAGAGGGAGAGACTTGATCGGGAGAAAGAGAAGGAGAGAAGGAAGAGGGAGGAGAGCTGGGCGACAGAGATGCATGGTCTCAGCGGGGATATCAGCTTGAGCCAGATGTCATGGGAAGGACGAAGGGAGCTGAGGGAGGAGCGAGAGAAGAGCTTAAGTCCCACAACGGAGGCCCCTGTCCTCCCGACCCATCCCTCAGCAGCATCAGTCTTCTCCCTCGCAAGCTCTTACCACTCCTTCCCCTCCTCTCCCGTTCCCGTCCCTCCATTATCAACCCCCCAGTCTTCTACCCCTCCCCTCCCTCCCGCACCGCGAACACCAATATCTAAACTGCTTAACAAGATCTCCCAATTGGAGAGCGCGAATTCCGAACTGCTGGCGCAGAGGCAGAGGATGGAGGAGAGGCTGGGTAGCGCGAGGAAGGGTGTTTGGGACATGGAGAGGGGGATCGAAGGGGTTGTTCAGGAGCTAAGAGGGTTAGGGGAGGTGGGGGGAGATGAGCTGGATGAGCAGGAGGGGGGAGTGGGTGCGCTGGATTGGGAAGAGGAAGGCGGGATGGGAACAGAGATTGAAGGGATGGCGGAGTGGCCGGAGGTGGAGGAACTAGGAGAGGAAAGGGAAGTGGTGAGAGAACTGGGTTTGGGGGAGTTGGGAGAGTCCGGGATGGAGGAGATGGAGGAGGACCCGACTGTACGCTTGGGAGGCCCTTCGCGTTCTGGGTGTTCTCCTGTACCTGCATTTGGGCTTGCCCATTCGCCTGCACCTGTGTTTCCGCTTGCCCATCCTCCAGCAGCTGCTCTTTCCCGCATACACTCTCCAGTGACTGGGCGAGCCCACACGCCTACAGTCGCTATCGCCCCTGAGCCACGCCTTGCTCACGTCTCCACCTCCGCCCCTCTACCCGCGTTGCCGGCCGCGCCGACCCGACTCTCTCTCAGCCCTCCCAGTCCTCAACGCCTGGGTCACATCCGCTCCCGAAGGAGAAAAGGGCTACCATTATCCTTCTTGATCCACCAGCCTCAGGCTGGGGATCCTTTGGCCGAGAGGGGGCCTTTGACGGCTCCTTTACCTTCGGTTTCGCCGCTTTCCCCTGCTGAGGCTGGGGGAGAGCGTACATTCGCAAGCATGCAACTCGCTCCTCCGGTATTGGGTCCCTCGGGGCCGCTTACGGCTCCTTTACCGGGTTTACAACCCCCTTCTTTGGCAGAAAGTGACGGCTCCACCCCCACCCTGCGGCATTTCCCCCGTTCATCATCAGACGAAGACGAGTTCTCCTTTCCTCGGGACACCGGCATGTCAGACTCCGGTTCAGGCTACTGGCGTGGTCGGACACCCGAAGCTGAGCAGCTAGAACAAGGCTGGAAAAGGCTCAACGAGGAACTGAAGCGGAGCGAGGGGACTAATTACCCTTTTCCCTCCAGGCCGGGGTTGAGGCACCGTCCTAGTACGCGTGTGGGAGTGCGTAGCTTGGCCGAGGAACTGGCCCGTGTACAGGGAGGAGCGGCCGTGTTGGGCACTCTGGGTCAGGGGTCGCGTAGCGGGACATGGAGGTTTACCCCACTTGAGTTTGGGGATGAGGGGAGCGAGGACGAGGTGGAGGAACTTGTGGAGGAGCCGGATCGGGAGTTGACCGTTTTTGAGAGACTGAACCTTGCTGCTGCTGCTGGTGAGCGCGCCTCGGGGGACGAGGAGAGGGAAACACTACTCAGCCTTGGGGCGCTGAAGCATGCTCCGCCGTCGACATTCGACCTTCTGGATAAGGCGGTCGACCAGCGCACGAGCGGCAAGTTGCCGAGGAAGGGGATCGCAGGCTGGGTCGAATGGGTACTGATGATCCTCCTCTGGGTTGATGAGCTTTTCCCGCTTCCTCCCTCTGACCCGGAGGAATGGGACGCCTCTATTACGCCTACGCCCGAAGGCCGGCTCAGCCCCCCTCCCCCTGGTCCTGGGGCAGGTCAGCTCCAGCTCCAGCGCAGGTCTACTGTCGTTTTGGACCAGAGGATCACCCGCGTGGTAGGTGATGTGTGGATTACCTTGCTTTTCATGTGGACCATAGGGGTGTTCATGCTCGGGGTGGCGAAGAAAGGTCCTCGAGGGGTTCTCATGCCTCCCGGAAACGAGAGATAGGGAGGTGACGGGGGAGCTTGGAGAGGAGAAGGGGACACTGCCCATTGTAGCATATTTGCAAGGACATTACAGTATATCCTGATTAGATCATACCGACATACAAGGATGTGAATATGCGTTTTTGAACAATGAACATTTTGGTCTGCATCTATCTTTCGTCACTCGTGCTGTCGGTGGGGATGCCCGACTACTCCAGAAGATAGGGTGTACCCCTAGCCGCCGAGTGACGTCAAGCGCTATGGGCGCACGGGATCCCCATCTTCTGATAGACCAACACACCGCCGGTAGTATGCTCGGTACCAGGATTAGGCGACCTCGAGAATCCCAAGGAAGGGCAGCGGGTCGGACACTCGCCGAAGTTCCCTTCTTTCCCGGGCCGCAAGGGATGACGACAGTGCTTCGTTCTCCTTGTTCAGGCCTGCTCTGACTGGGTTGACGCAGGATACTGCCATTCATTATGCGGTGCCATCGCGAAATTGACAAGCGCCGTGAAATATTCAGTGCTGTAATCAGCTTTCAAATAGATAAACCGCGCGCGTTCGTTCAGGAACAGGGTTGGCGAAAGTAGAAACTTGCTTCAAGTTCGTCGCGATGCATGTGGAGTTTTTTCTCCGGGAGAGATGATGCAGATAAGCTCGACGTTGAGAGGGATCCCGATATGATCCGCGAATTTGTTGACGAGATGTATGATCTCCGGGCTCTATTTCGGGGGCGATAGGAGGAAGAGAAGGATGCGGATAAGTACCCTTTCGCAGTTCTATCGGGATATCGTATCCGGAAATAGTAGTTCAATCTATCGCGCAGAGAAGCGCGTAGATATTGTCCCAACGCCCGCACGCTGTTTGTTCTAAGCCAGATTTATCGAGTCCACAGAGCAAATGGCGAACAGCGTCTGTGCTTATCGCAAACAGTTAGCCTGAGAGCTATCGTCGTCCAGAAAGGGAGAGCACAGAGCGACAGTCGAGAAGGCAGCAGGTGGGACCATATTTCCGGGAATGGCCAACAATCGCTTCGATGTCAGACCGGTCGACCTGCCAACATGTTCCGTTTGGCAATCGGAATGCCGGGAGTCTATGGAAGCCGGGCCACAGCTCTTGCGGTCCAGGCAAGGGATCTCCAGGCAAGGGGATAGACCGCTTGGGCGGTGGCCAATAAAGATGATTGAAATGACGGCATGTCAATCTATTGAGCGAATAACCAATATGTGTGCTGGAGGAGCTGCAGCACTTCATTTATCGCCTAGACACCAAGAGCATGTGAAGAAATTTCCAGGCAGTGTCGAGCGCTGATTGTCAAGATTTACCCAGAAAACGAATACTCTTCTGCAGTGTCCTCCTTGCCTGTCGCCCTGATCCTCAGCAAGGCGCTGCTGCGAGAAGTTGTGAACCCGCTGTAAGAAGACAGACGAGTCGGGAAGACGCACGGTCGGCCTGGCCATCCCGAATCCCGCCCTTGTCACGTGATCTGAGCCACCGGACGCGCTCTCACGTCTTCCCGAGTGTTGGCATCTTGTCTCCAGCAACCACCGGTCTCACGCTCCCTATGATGGAAATACTTGTTCTCCCTGCAATCCGTTCTTATGCGGATGTTGGATGCACTGCCGAGAATCTGGATATGTAGGAAGCCTGATACGGCCAACTCGGAGCAACGTTCGGCCCAGATGTATTGAAGTTGAACCATGCGCTCGGGCTTCGCCTGCTTTTGTTCCTGGAGCTTGAATCATCCTGGCTTCGGCGCTCAGCCTGAACGCCCTGATTCACACTGAGCGGCACGTTTGGATGTTGTCCGCTCAGCTCCATCATCAGATATGCCGAAATCTACTGCATACCCGCTGCTCGGAAATGTCAGAATCACAAACAACTGGAAAGATCATCTCATTTGGCGCTGACTTGGTAGCGGCATACATTTGTCCTCGGTCTCCTTGCGGCCTCTGTTCTTCACTGAACCGCAACCAATGTTCCCGATAGTGAAGATAGGGACCAATACGCCGTTCATCACCGGTGGTAACAGGCAGTCTTCCCTGGTCCATGCTCTTTCTTCTACGGAGCACGCGATTCGTCGCCGGAATACTCATCATGTGCGAAGCGCATTACCAAATTTGGAAGCCAAGACATGTGCACCAGGTAAGCATGGCACTAAGTCTTCCGATCTCCTCCTGAAGTTTCCTCGTCGTCTGGTAGTTTGTCTCGGGGTTGCTGTACCTCCGTTCCGCTCGAGGCCATCTCTACGTCTGATATCGGCTAATATGTTCGAACTCGTCTCTATGCCAGTTTCAGTGGGCTATATAACCTTCAAGAGGCAGGAGTGGGAAACCTTGTCACTCCGTCCTCTCCCCAGCCCACCCCATAGACCGATAGATCACCTGATCATCAACTGCAGCATCGACTCAATACACAATGGCCAACGAGTTTGAAGCTAGGAAAATTGCCATCGTAGGCTTCTCTTGCGCCCTCCCATCCGGCCACTATGCCAAGGAGGACCTCAGCTACAACATGCTGTGGGATTTCCTCATGACGAAGAGCGAGTCCTATGAAGAGATCCCCCAGGACAGGTTCGACATTAACCAGTACGTCCAAGATGTGTGATACTTGTTCGATGCGTGTAACATTGTGTTGAAGGTGGTTCGGCAAGAATGCCGGGCAAATCAGCACTCGCAAGGGTAATTTTTTGAAGAACCCTACGCAGTTTGATCACATCGAGTTTGGCATTTCCTTGAAGGATGCCACCGCTCTTTCTCCCAGTTCCCGCAAACTTATAGAGCTTGCTTTCCTTGCTCTTCAGGATGCGGGTATCGACTACCGAGGCAAGCGCATGGGTTGTTTCATGTCGGGCATCAATTCTGGTCTCGTCGATCGTGTACGACCACCCTACCCCCCTTCAACATAACCATCTGATTGTTGGTTTGATAGGATCCCTTCGATGAACAAGGCAGCTTCGCCAATGCTCCAGCCATGCCTGCCAACCGTGTCTCTTACACTCTGGATATCAACGGTCCCTCGGTTGCGCTCGATACCGCCTGCAGTTCTTCGATGACGGGCACTCATCTGGCTATCCAGTCCCTGCTGGGCGGAGACTGTGACACTGCGCTTGTTGGTTCCTGCCAGTACGACCATTGGTGTGTCTACTTGTAGAATGCGCCTACTGCTATGGCTGATTGAGGATAGGCTCCAAGATTGGGTTGGCTATTCGGTCGGCGGTGTCTTGGCTCCCGATGGAAAATGCAAGCCTTTCGATGCAGGTGGAGACGGGTGGGTGGCTACACGGCAAGGATAAGACAGCATGCTGATCTCCCTTGCAGCTTCTCTCGTTCTGAGGGCGCGGGCGTCTTTGTTCTGAAGCCCCTTGACAAGGCGCTGGCCGACGGTGACAAAATCTACGCGACAGTTCGTATTGTTAGTTCACCGTCTGATATATACAGCTCACACATAATAGATTATCGGGTCTGCCATCAATTCTACTGGCGGCGGCTCAGCCCCCAACCAGCCTGTCGGCTCGGCCCAACAGGAGGCCATTAAGTTGGCCTATCAGCGTGCTGGTAAGGATCCTCGGACTGTAGACTTCGTTGAGCTCCATGCGACGGGCACGGCGGTCGGCGATCCTATCGAAGCCAACGCAGTTGGAGAACTCTTCAACCGCCAGGAAGAACTTATTGTCGGTAGTATCAAGGGAAACATGGGGTGAGAAATCTGCGCGTTACTACTTCAGCTCATACTGATGGGGACATCAGCCATCTGGAAAACACTGCTTTCATTGCATCTCTCGCTAAGGTTTGCTTGATATTCGAGCACGGTATCATGCCTCCCCAGGCCAACCTGAAGAGCCTCAATCCCGCGATTCACTGGAAAAAGTACAACCTTAGGGTCCCCTTCGAATCTATTCCGCTGGACGTAAACCTCGGTTCCCGACCAATCCTTACATCCATCTCCAGTTTTGGCATTGGTGGTGCGAACGGCCATGCCATTCTGGAGTCCTTCGTTTCCGCCGCGGGTGACTACACTCCTACCGTCAAGAACGGACCATACCTCATCATTGGCGGTGGCCTTACTCCCAAGTCGGCCGGCACAGTTGCCAGCGATCTTGCTGCTATGCTTGAGGAGCACCCCGAACAAGCCGCCGAGATCTCCCGTATTTCGATTCGCCGTGCTCGTCAGCTCCTATGGCGTACTGCTGCGGTATATGAATCGGGCAAGCCCATTAGTTTCCCAGAACCTACCTCTGTCCCTCGCGTCGTTCCCCCCATTGTCTACGTCATGTCCGGTCAAGGTCCTCAGCATTTCGACATGGGTCGTCAATTGTATGCCGAAAACCCGGTGTTCAGAGCTTCAATCGATGAGATGGACGACATCTACCGGAACTACGCGGGTGTATCTCTCATTGAGTCCACCGGTCTATTCCGCACTCTCGAGAAGCCGGCACTCAAGCTTCCTGCCATCTGGTCTATTGCCTTGATTCTCCCTTCGATCGCCATGTTCCAAATGGCCATGGTGGACATGCTCACGTCTGTCGGCGTCCATCCCACCGCAGTCGTCGGCCACTCAGCGGGCGAGACAGCTCTCATGTATGCATCTGGAGCCTCCCCGAAAAAGCTGGCTTTGGAGGTCTCTATCGCCCGTGGCCGTGCCATGGCTCTGCTCGAGGCTCACAAGGGCACAATGGCTGCCATGGCTTGCAATCGCCAACAGGCGGAGGCGCTCATGTCCACGCCGGAACTCGGCAAGGACATCATCGATATCGCATGCCACAACGCTCCCGATGCAGTCGCACTTTCTGGGCCTGCGGACATCATCGACAACATAATGAAGGCTGCTGCTGAGAAGAATATCTGGGCGCGTCGCCTCCAGACCAACTGCCCTGTACACGGTACCATGATGGACATCTGCAAGACAGAATACCAAAAATCTGTCGGACACGTCTTCCGCAACAATCCCCCAGTTACCGAACCGACGATCCAGACGTTCTCCACACTTTCCGGCGGGATTCTCGACCAATCACTGTCTGCTGAATATTTCTGGAAGAACGCTCGCAACACTGTGTTGTTCACCGAGGCAATGACTGCCATTCGCATGTCACATCCTAATGCCATCTACGTCGAGCTTGCACCTCATCCTGTTCTTTCGTCGTACATCACCGCCATAGTCGGCCAGCCTGCACCAGTCACCTGTCCTGCTAAGCGGGCTCGCAAGGGAGAGACCACTAAGGAGATGGCGACTTTCCTGACCAGTGTCGGGGAGCTCTGCCTTAAAGGCTACAATTCGGTTGATGTGAAGACCGTGCCTCGTATCCAGGCTAATGGTCTCATCCTACCAGCGTATCCCTTCGCGCAGAGGACTGTACCTTGGCATTCTGAATCTGATCTTGGCCGATCTCGCTTCCGCGTTCGGAATGGGCCGCTTAACTACCCTGGCATTCATGTCAACACCGGCACCCACCCTGATCTCGCAGACCACATTATTCAAGGAGAGCCGATCATGCCTGCCACTGGATACCTTGAGATAGTCAGATTCATTCATTAACATGTTGACAAGGTGCTAATAGTATTCCTAATAGGCTTTCGAATCTGGCGCTCGTCAGCTTTGGGATGTTGGCTTCTATGCTGCTCTGTCTCTCTCCAGCGCACGCCCTGCCCCTATCGAGGTATCCGTTGATGGACACAGCTGGACAATTCGTTCTCGCGGACCTCGTTCAAAAGTGTTTGATCGTGTGAACGCTGGAGGCTATCTGTCCAAGGATTCTGCCGTCCGCCCTAACGCTAATCTTGAAGCCATCAAGGCCCGATGCAAGGCAGTCAGTGCTAAGACCTTCTTGGATTCCCTCACTTTTGCCAATTTTGGCCCTGGATTCAGACGTATTGAAGAACTCTATAACGGCAATGGCGAAGCTGTCGCTATCGTTCGTGGCTGGGATGACAAGTATGCTCTGGCGGCTGGATATCAATTCAACCCGGCCATCCTCGATTCCTGTTTACAAGCGGCATATACCCTGGTGCCTGGTCGTGACACGTCTGATATGTACTTCCTTCCTGCGAGGTGTGGCTACATCGCCCTCAACGACATGAGTACGATTGAAAGGCCGTCGTCTGTCGTCGCCCACATTCGTCTGGCTGCATGGACTCCGGAAGCGATCACCTTCGATTATCATGTTTACACTCCTGAAGGTCAATGGCTTTGTTCCATGGAATCCTTCACCATGGACGGTCACAGGGGCATCCCCAAAAAGCCCGTAGATAACAGGCTGGAGTCCGTGTGGCAACCCATTCGTATTCCGGCTATTGTTCCTGCACCAGAGAAGGTTTCGTCGACGGCTTCTGCCGTTTCCGACCTGTTGACTGCCCTTGATGCAGCTGCAGTGAAAGCCATGTCTTCGGTCGTTGCTTCCAACCCTGTCGCACCCGACGATGTCAGCCGTCAACGCTACCTTGCTTTCATGCAAAAGGCAGCCGAATCAGGTCGGCCCACTACCTCAATGGAGGTAGAAGAACAGCTGAAGGAGAAGTTCGGTGCTCCTTTCGAAATATTGCAACGCGTTGCCCAAGCGCAGGAGAAACTGCTGACAACCGTGGACGATGCCGTCGTCGATGGCTTGTTTAAAGACAACATTTTGATGGAGCTCTACAAGCCAGATGGTATCATGGGTGCGGTCAGTGCCTCCCTGGCTGAGCAGTTCCGCAAGACTGTCGCACATGTCGTGAACAGCGGTAAGCGGGTTCTGAAGGTTCTCGAACTGGCAACAGGTGTGTAAGCCGCTCCATTGATATCACCTCTGGCTGACAGACTATGTTCACAGGATCTGGAAGTCTGACTGCCGCCCTCGAGCCAATCATTCACGAATTCCCTGGCATTGTGATTGAGTATGTGGCGTCCGATGCTGCGCCTGCGGTCCTTGGTGCCACACTGAACCGTCTTGGTTATCACAAGATGAGGTCCCAGACCTTCGACATGTCGAAAGAACCAGAGTCGCAAGGGCTCGTGCTCAACAGTTTCGATATTGTTACTGGCCTGAACGTGCTTCACACGGTGCCGGACATTTCCGTAGCCCTTGTGGGTCTCAATAGCCTGTTGGTTCCTGGTGGCAGTCTTCTTATCGCCGACATTGACGGTGCACAATGGGGTAGCATACCTGGTGCACTGTGGTGCGATTTCGTCTTTGGGGTTTACAAATCTTGGTTCTCTTACACGGACGCGCGCTCGCATGCTGCACCATCAGCCAACGAATGGAGTACCCAGCTGGAAACCGCTGGGTTCAACGTCGTCGCCAGATTAAGAGATGCGGACGGACCTTTCGTCATGCTAGCCGGACAGAAGGATGTCGATATTTCCCCTGTCGCTGCTCCCGCCATCGGTGAAGTCCTTCAGTATCGCCTCGGCCATGAGGGCCAAATCCAGCATGTCTTCAAGAAATATTCTCCAGAGGATTCGCCTACCTTCTGGATTGCAGCCCCTGAAGGCTTGGACGGCGATGGTGTCCTTGGCTTCGCCCGTAGTCTGCAAAAGGAATTCCCCACGTGGACCATCAAGCTGGCTGTTTTTTCTGGCGAGCGGACCGAAGCCGAACAGAAACGTCTCTTGTCTGCCTGGTCATCTCGTTTACAACACGAGTGGGAAGTCCACTTCGACCTTCACGGTGAGGCTAGCGTCATGCGTATCGCCCCAGCTGTCCCCTGCCCGACGCCAGGAATGGTTGCTTTTGATCCAGCGAAGCCGTGGGCGATCCAGGATGGCACAGTGGTTCAAACTAGTCTGCCTTACGTCGGAAAGGATGATGTTCTTGTTCAAGTTGAAGTCTGGCATTCTCTAGGAACGGCTTTGAAGGCCTTCGTTGGTCGCGTCGGAGTTGTCCCCTCTGGTGGTTTCCAAGAGAATGAGCTCGTCGCCGGTATCACTGCACAGAACGAAGCAAGCTGTGTCACGGCTCTCTGCACGTCACTCGCAAGGGTGGAGAACAAGAAGCTCACGTCTCAGGAGCTGGTCTCTATCGTCGGTCTGGCGGCCGTTGCCTCTGTGATCAACGCGGATCATAAAGCAAGTCAAAGGACGAAGACCCCCAGGCGTGCTCTGATTTTGAATGATCCGACGACCGAATCGCTGGGAGCGATTCTGAAACGTTTGAACTGGGATGTTTCCACGCAGGAACAACTTTTCAATGCTGGCATTCGCCGAACTGCACTGCCTGTATTCGATGTCATCATCGGTACAACCGAGACAGTCAGCGCCCTACGGGAGTCTCCAAAATCTCTCCCTTACCCATCTTTCTGCTGGGACGACGCTTCTGATGGCCTTCTGGTTCGCAGCAGGCAAATGGCGTTCGGTGAGGACCTCGAAGCAGTCCTTGGCGTTGTTGACAAACAATCTCTGACACCTCATGTCTCCGAGAGTGCCACCTTGTTGCCACCGCCCGGGGCCTTGGTCAAGAATGCTAGCTCATTGCTTTCGCCGACGAAGACTTATCTTCTTGTTGGTGGCATTGGTGGGTTGGGTATCCGCACCGCCGCGTGGATGTATGAGGTAAGTCGACGTGCCATTATCTGAACCGCGATGTCTCTAATTCGACATATTGCAGCAAGGAGCTCGTTATATTGTGCTGACGTCTCGCTCCGGTGAAGCATCCTTGGCCCGTTTGAATGAGCCTGTCATCAACAATGTTGTCGATTATCTCAAGTCTCTCCCCGACCTGACTTTGCGACTCGAGGCTTGCGATGCAAACTCGTCGAGTGCCGTGAAGAAGCTCTGCAACACCTTTGCATATCCTCTCGGTGGTGCCCTTATCATGGCGGTGGTTCTCCAGGATCGTGTGTTTATGGATCAAACTGCAGAGACCTTCCGCTCAGTCTATGAAAGCAAGGTCGGCGCATACAAGACACTCGCAGATGTCTACGATCTTAGTACCGCTGATTGGCTGGTCATGTTCTCGTCAGTTGCTGGTCTGTTCGGCAATGGTGGCCAGACCAACTATGCAAGTGCAAACACGGTGTTGGATGCGATCGTTGGCAAGCTTCCTAATGCCTTCACCCTCATCGTGCCCCCCATTCTCGATGTTGGTGTTTTCGCCCGTGCGGCGCAGGAGAACGCGGCCGCATTCGCTCACCTCAAAGACTGGGGCATGACTTGTGAGGATCTGTGCGACTACATCGGCGATGGCATCAAGCGGCTTCAGGAAACCGGCCCCTTCACCTTCCAGGTTCCTGACCTGAATTGGCTGGCGGTTGAGAAGACAATGGGCATATCGTCAGCCTTCCATCACTTGGCGTATCCGCCAAGGTCTGATTTCGCTGATGGTGGCGCTGGTGGTGAGGAAAAGACCATTGACGACGTCGTATGCGAGATCCTTCAAGTCCCCAAGGACGACTTGTCTCAGGAGGTCCCACTGACGCGTTATGGTCTGGACTCTCTCTCTGTAAGCGAGCTCCAGAAATCTTTCCCACTCTTAAACCTGACCAAGCTATGTAGGCTGCCCGTCTTGCTGCTGGCCTGCGACCATTCGGCACTATCTCACAACTTCAGCTGCTCAGTGACTTGACTGTTTTCGATATCAAGGCCAAGCTCGGTGACGGCGCAGCTCCGGCGGGCGGTGCAGGCAGCGATGGCCGTGGCGCTTCCCCCATTGTGAAGATCAAGGACGACGGATCGGTGCCGATCATCATGACTCATGGTGCTGATGGATCTATTGCACCCATGAAGATGCTGTCCGAGAACTTCAAAGGCTCCGTCTGGGCCATTCAACTCACGGGCGATGCTCCGATGGAGTCCCTCGAGGTTCTTGCTGACTGGTATTACGATCACATCAAGGCTGCACGGCCTCAAGGTCCGTACCGTCTGTGTGCATTCTCCGCCTCTGGTGCTGTCATGGTGTACCTGTGCAAGAAGTTTGAAGCTGCTGGAGATCAGGTTCTCCAGCTTGGTTTCGTCGATCACTTCCCTCTCGCCACAATGGGTGGTGGATTTGACTTGCGGATTGCTGTCGACAAAGATGGCATGCTCCTTCCTGAATATATGAAGATCATCATCAGCCGTATGGGTCCCATGATGGTGCGGGATAGCAAGATCGATCCTGTCCGCCGTACCCTCGGCGAGGACCTCAATAAGTGGGTGAAGGGCGAAGAGACGTCAGAACTCGCAACCTCATTCATAGACATCGTGCGCAACTATGCTTCTCTCGAGACCCGCTGGATCATCAAGAAGATTACTGGTGGTGTCACGTCAGCACCATGGGATCCCAAGGTCTACGTCAGGTGGCTTCAGGATATCAAGGCTCCCACCACCATGATCTGGGGTCTTGACGGCTACAGGAACGACCTACCGAAGGAGTGGAGGAATCCTGGTCACGTCTTTGATGCTCACTCAGTCTACCCTGATGCGAAGCTCATCGAGGTTCCTGGTGGCCACGCCGAATGTCTTGCCAGCAAAGAAGCAGCTGACATTCTGGCAGAGGGCTTCAGTGTTGGCGCTACGGCTTAAATCATGTCCCCCCTTTTTTCTCTGCATAATTTCCCCAACCTGTCTCATTCCTTGGTTTCTCTAGCAAGTTCTAGTGTATGTTTCTCACGTTATGACCCTATATTCCGCGATGTCACGATCTCTCGTAATCTTCATAGATGGTCGTCAATGAAAGAGTCTTGACGAATCTGGCGGATAAATCGAAGTTACACAAGTCACGACACAACCATTGTTCCTCTGGGAAGTGGTCGGGCTAGACCCAGCTCTTCCCTCACGTGCGTTTCTTCACGACATGTGAGCACAAGTGCGCGGGGAAATGGCACGATGTTACCCCGCACAACCGAGTAATACGTACCTCGAGACTGAGAACACTGTCCCCCGCATCGTGCAGTGGTTACCGTTACCGTCGCGTGTCATGTGTGGGAGCAGGTCGCGAGCCGCAAAAACGCTTGCCCGCTGATGCTTCGTCCCCTCGCCGGCGCTTAGACTCACTCAATATGGACGTCTGCGTGACTGTCGGAGTGCTCGCTGGAAGCGCGAGTTACATGTGTTGCTTATAGGAGCGAGGTACTCCCAGTTTGGATATTCTTAGCCTTACATTAATGTAGGATTAACGCGGAAGCGCAAGTGATTATCACCTAAACCGGCAGTCGGTCCACCCTTTACTCCGAGATTTACTCCGAAAACATCTCACACTCTCGGGACTAGTCAAGTTAAGGTCTGGGATACTGGGTACGCTGCTTCGATGTGTATTCGCCCAAGTGTCTGGTGATACAAACGATGAGGACGCAGAGATGAGCCTCCATGTGCTTTATCTTTCGGAGCAATATCATCGCGAAGCTCAGAAGCTCACTTTCCGTATCGGCCCCAGTCGGAGACGAAACAAGTTTTTTCTCCTCACGTCCAAGCGGGGCGAAAGAAGAAGGTCGAATGTTTTGTGGAGGCAGACGGTGAAGCATCATACACCCCTGATTCGACCCACCGACAGCATGCCGGAACAAATGCTTCTCTTCGTCATGTCTCCCCCGCAGGAACGCATGCTATCCTGTAATGAGTCCGGCGAGAAGACATCCCTACGCTATATATACCAACCACCCTTCCGGGGCTCCATACGAACCCCCTTGGTCCCCCGGATCGTTCTTGATCGCCTGGTCTCTGAGATTCACTTGTTTTGCGGCAGTGTATTCATAAACTGAAAGATGGTACACCAAGTGAAGGGAGTTACAGGTACGGGTTTCGTACCAAATAATTGGCTTCGGTACGGTAATATGACCCGCAGCCGCCGAGCTGTCTCGCGCAACATGGGCTTTCGCATTCCTGTTGGTCACGATGCTATTCTTTACATGTAAGTACTGGACTTCATGGTTATATGGAAGCGATTGATGTCACCGCAGGGGGGTTTGCTTACGGGGTAAGCTCGCCGAAGCTTTTCGGGCATTGCAACGCGGTTGACGTCATTGTATTCCAGCTTCTCGATGTGCTGAACAAGCATTTCCAAGAGATATTTGGGATCTCGAAACTCCAATCCACGCTTCTGCAGCTTGCGTACTTTGTATCACGCCCACCCAAGGATGTCCGAACTCTCGCTGACAACGTTGCAGGGAAGCTACTTCGGATGGCCACCTTTTGCTGGCATGTTTGTATGTAGAGAGTGGTTATACCCACAACATTTTCTGAACCTCGAAAACGTTAGATGAGACGATACGGCTACAAGAAGGGAATTCATCTCGGACTCACTTTCTATTCACTGGGTAACGTGTCATTATCCCCCTTCTGCCTTCTGACTGACCCGAGGACTCCAACAGGTGCTGTATTCTTCTGGCCTTGCGCTGTATATTCGACATACGGTGGCTTTGTGGGCTGTACCTTCGTCATTGGATGCGGCCTCTCAACTCTGGAGGGCAAGATTATTTTATCATCTCGCAGGGTGATAACGCTTACCAATTGGTTCAGTCGCAGCCAATTCGTATATTACTGTTCTGGGGAGCCCCAAATACGCAGCAGCACGTCTCAACTTCAGCCAAGGATTCCAAGGCATCGCATCATTCGCTGGGCCTATGATTGCCTCTCGCTGGTTCTTCACTGGTGAGAGCGCCAACAGTCTGGGCACTGTCCAATGGGTGTACTTGGCTGTTGCTGCCTTCGGCTTGGTGCTCAATGTTCTCTTCTTCTTCTGCCCGTTGCCGGAGATCACAGAAGACGCACTATCCGAAGAGCTAAAGGGCGCGGGAATCTCGCAAGATACCAAGCCCTTCTGGCAACAATGGCATTGCATCTTTGGATGGGTTGCTCAGACAGCTTATGTGTAGGCTTCGTCAGTGACGCGGTAACCATAGCTGATGTTATAACGTAGCGGTGCTCAAGTTGGCGTCGCAAGCTTCGTGGTTAACTACCTTACCGACCCTCTGCAAGGATCAAATTATGACGATTCTACGGCTTCTCAGCTATTTTCATACTGTCAGATTACGTTTACGGTTGGCCGGTACGCATTGCTGGATGGCGCAGAGCACTCGATGCTGACTTCGTTCTAGTTTCGTTTCCGTGCTTATACTTCAATACATCGATCCTGCAATCATGCTCACCATTCACGGGCTAGCTTGCTCGCTCTTTTGTTGCTTGACAGCGGAGTTACGTGGCAAAGCTGGTGTTGTCTGCCTCTTCCTTCTGTTCTATTTCGAGAGCTTGTCGTACCCAGTCATTTTCACGCTTGGCACGAAGAATCTAGGGAGGTGGACAAAGGCAGGCTCTAGCCTGATTGTCATGGGTGTAGGAGGAGGTGCTTGGGTGCGATTTTATTTATCGCACCGACATGTCAAATGGCTCATGGGATGTAGTATCCTCCTGCGCAAGCTGCATTGGCAGACCGCGCTGGGACACCCCGCTCCTATTTGGTTCCCATGAGCGGTTACTTGGCTATGTTCCTTTATGGGGTTTGTATTTCCTTCCTAGAGCGAGCTCGAGGTGAAGATCCTGATCCTCGCAACAGGTGGGCGTGGTCATCGACCAGGCCCATAAGTACGGATTCCGGATCCGGTCATATGATGAATTGGAAGTCATGAAGCTCATGGTCGCTGCTGCTTCGGCATTCCCGCCTGGTACCATCATGTATGGTGAAGGCGAGATGAACAAAGGCACTGATAGTCCCACTGAGGTGGAGAAGAAGGATATTGAATACCGCGAGAGTACCAGACTGGCTTGATCGCTGCGTCTCAAGTATGAAGCGCAACTCGTCATGGCGGGGGGCTGATACGGATACATTGCTTGAATGTAGGATACACATATTATAGAGGACAGCGTCATCTAGGCACCTAAAAGGAAAGGATCCAGCGATAACAATGACCTCTTTTCATCCATTATCTTTGCTGTCCACCCCAGCAGCAGGCGCGGCAGGCGGTGGCGTGAGAGTTATACTTCCTGGGCCGGAAACGTTGATTGCAGACTTGCCAAGCTTCAGCTTCAGCTTCTTGCCTTCTTCCTTGCTCGCTCCCAGTATGGGTATGGACTTGGGCAACGTGAATCCAGTATCCACTATCTGTTCCACTGTACCACGCCGCTTGTTACTGCGGTCAAGGGCACCCAGGAAATCGTCTTCGTCATCTTCATCTCGCTTTCGTTTCTCACCGGGGCGCGGCGGCGACGATTCGCGAGAGCTGGCGCGAGGTGACGGCGGTGGAGACTTGTGTCCAAATTTGGAAGGTGGTGGTGATGGCGTCCTGACACCATTACGAGGGGTATGGAGGGACGCAGATTCGGAACCTAGTGCGGGACTACTTCGACGACGAGCAATGGAAGGTATCGGTAGGGAGGGAGAGGGTGGCCCCTTTGATGGCTTGATGCCATTGGTATACAACGGACGAGGCCGCAGAATGTGTCGAACAGTAGGTGAATCTGCTCCTCGAGCAGCAGCGGATAGCTCTTGTGGTGATGGTGCTTGAGGAGAGCTGGATGGGTTTTCTCCAGTGTCTTTATGCACATCATCATCGTCATCGTCGTAGTCGACCAGAGATGCAGGGCGTGGTGGAATTAGCCGAGTGGGTCCATTGGTCCCTTTCAGCGAAGCTTTGCGTTTGTGACCTTTTGGTGTCTCAGCGGCAGGCATGGGCCCGATCTCTTCGTCATCGTCAGAACCGTTGAAGTAGTCTTCTTCCTCTATCTCAACAGATTGGCCTTGTCCCCAGCGCATGAGAGGCGCGCTATATTTCATCATCAGTCGATACTCGTCCAGCGGAAAGGCGGACACGTACCCAGCAGCTGGTCTAATAGGCTGCGACTGCTGGGTCGCGCTGTCCGTATTTTGCTCCCATCTTAACACCAGGCCTTCAAATATCCTACCCATGGGCGTTTTGTCTCGCGCAATCTGTCGGACTGTACTCGGATAAGACGTCATGATGGCATTGATGACAGTGCGAATATTCTCCTAGAAACATGGTTAGAGGGATACTCGTCATGAACAAGGAAGTATTCCGACCTTCTTGAGATAGTCAAAGTACTCCTGATAGCAAGCCGACAAAAGGCTGTCATTGTCAGACTCCCTACCAGCCAGCTCAACAAGTGGGAAGAACAGGTCCTTCCCGATTAAGTGGCGAAAGATGAACTGATTACCGACCTTGAGGAGAGAGCGAAAGAATCGAAGTGCGGCGATGCGGATTTGTTTCTCTTTGACAAGCAGAAGCATGGCGATGCGCGAGGAGATGACCGAACTCATGATGAAAAAAGAACTGCGATGCGTATGCTGGACAGCAAAAGTTGCGAGCAGCTCGGTGAGGTAGAGAATGTGCGGGACTTGTGGCTTGCTGAGTCGGGGACCGGGTGGCAAGGTAGGAGGATCTTGAGGAAAGGATCAGCAAATCTGCACAGTAGGATGCATTACATGTAACGAACCCTTCTTTGCTAGCTGAAACTCGGGCAATCTCAGCAGAGGGCTGAAGAAATCTCTGACAGGATCCCCCTGATAAAACCATGTAAGGAATCGCTCGATGGTCGAATCTTCCCTTGCCCGAACGAGTGCGTCCGGAGGCACAGGTCCATCCGTTCCGATAACCTCAAGCAAGGTCTTGGTCGCATCCGCCATCTGGCTCTTCAGTGCGACGTCAAGTCCCGGTGCGAGCATTAGCTGCTGCATAGTATCCAGGAGGGTTGATTTGCGCTTTGCAGAACCCGCCAGGGATGACGGGGTATGTATCGCACCGATTGCCGAAGCGCCGACCTGGTTCAGGATGTAGTTGCGAACAGCGGCGGCATCGTGGTCGACAACTACGCTGAGAAGCTCTCCCGTTACGCTCCGAATCTGAGGTACCTCCGAAAGAAGGCCCCAATTGAAGGCGTTGACCAAACCCTTTTCGACAAGTCGGCGGTAGAGTGTGATCCGCAACGGCACTTGCACAGACTTCGCCATCATACAAAGTTGATGGAGGAGAAGTATGAGATCCCCACGTTTGTCCGGCTTAGAAGGATCATCCAGCTGTCTGGCTTTGCCCTTGTCCGAGGTTTCGTCAAAATAAGAGAAGATCTCTCGCAGAATCGAGTCGTCCGCGCTGATGTATTGGATGATGTCAACTTGTTGGTAGAGCATACAACTCTTCAGGACGTTGAACACCGGGTCATCCAGAACGCGGGCAAGGACGACATCCATGAGAAACTGGAGGCGGTACACGTTGTGCACTTTTCGAAGAATGCCGTCATCCTTCAGGTCAATTACTTCTCGGAAACGGGTAACATGTTGCACAAAGTCTCGATAGCCGGCCTTGACATTGGGGAAATCAGGGTCGTCTGAGTGCATATATTCAGCCACAGCATATATGCAAGCACGCGACGTGATACGCACATTCAAGCATCCCGAGGACACCGAGGAAGACATCATCTTTGACGATATAATCGTACATGCCAGGGTCGTTCAACAATACTATTTTTGTACATTGTTAGACCATAAGGCGCGGAGAAACAGGCTGACTTACATAATGTCTGCGCCAGCTTGCACAGAGCGTGTAGGTCTTCCAGACTTTCGAGGTCCTCAGCTTGATCGTGTACTTCTATGCACTGCTTCCAGAAGTCCTACGGAACAAAGGTCAGGCTCATCCTCTCTAAGCCGTAAGATGAACCCCAACACACCCGTGCCACTATTGCCTCGCAGAGCTTCTGCTTTGTGCTCGGATTGCGCCCCACGAGCTTGAACGCCGCCTCAATTTCGGGCAGATTTCCGAGCTGGGGAACAGGAAGTTCTTGATGTTGAATCAAGTTAGAGATCATTATCTGGACATCGGATATGGGTAGTGGGAGACGTTCTGGTGAGCTCACGGACGACGTCGAGAATGGCGATGACGCCGCGGCGGGAGGAGATAAGCCAGATACAGAGGACTCGGCATCGTCACCTGGGGAAAGATAGACAGGTCAGAGAAATGATAGTGCGATGGTCCATGTAGACTAACGACTGGAAAGCATATGCGTCTGCACATCGAGGATGAAGTCCCACACATCGGCGCAGCCCTCGGAATCCTGAAATGAGAGCGCGTAGTCCTGTCCATCCGGCTCAGTCCAGGTGATGAGAGTTGGTGGACCTTGAGTGTCATTCGTCTGCTCCGATTCTCGCTGGTTACTGTTATTACCTGTGGCAGACGCATGAGATTCAGCGCTTTGAGATAGGGGGCCTGTAGGGAAGGCGCACCGTGCGTAACCTGATACACGTCCTCTTTGTGTATTGGCCTTCGCAAAATTTCATGCCCATCGTCTTCTGCTGAGACCACTAGTTCTGCGCGATCGCGGATAGCTTCGTACACGGTCGTTACAAATCCGGTGCCCAGATCTCGCCAGCCACCTTCGATAAGCTCATATACCTGGCCGCAATGGATGATCAACGCGCATATACGAGAGCACAGGGCGCATATACTCACCTTGACGCGGTTCTGACTCCCATTTACGAGCCTAGAAAGGTTCCCACGCTTGTTCAACCCATCATCGTCAAGCTCCATATCGTCCGCCTCGTGTACTTCCTTCCTCTCCGTCCGTATGAGTCGCTCGCCATTCGTCTTTCCTCTCCGCTCCTGATTTCGCTTCCTACCAAGGTTTGGCCCAGCCTCCTGGCGCGTGGGCATCACAGCCCTCCTGTTGACCTCTTTCTCCTTTTGCTCACTATTGCGCACACGCTCTGGATGTAGAGACTCGCTCTTGCGTGGAGGGGAGTTGGACGGACTCGAGATGGGCGTCTGCGGTATGGGTTTCTCGCCGTAGGACGTCATGCGCGCCGTGTTACGGGGGTTCCAAGGGAAGCGGGGGTCCAGGTCTAAGTCTAAGTCCGATGGGGGTCCAGAGAGGTGTGGGAGTCTCTTGTGCAGCGCGCTGCAAGAAAGGGCGTTTAGTGGTGCATGCGCCGAAACTGGGGTCGGCGAGAGGGAGAAATTTAGGTCGTGCGAGTGCGAAATGTTGGGAGCGGTTTAACTTTGAACTGGATCGGGGAACAAGGAGCGCCAGGTGCGTCGCTCGTTCGCAGTCGACCTGTCAGTTCCCGTTCCCGCGGAGGCACCGGCTCTCCTCCCCCACCCGTTCGGCCCCTGTTAGTGCCAGTGGCGGGCAGGCACCTCATCCTCTGATTGGCCCATGGACAAAACGGAAGCATTCCGGCGCCATGTGCCCTACATGCGGCATACAATTTGACCGGAGTTTGATTAGGCGTTCAGGGACGACGAGAGGTTATGTTTTAACGCCTGATACTGACTCACAAGAACTGATCATGATATCGATGGAAAGGGTAATCTGCGTAAATAACTGGCCTTTGGCAATTATTATGAGACCGCGAAAACTGATGCTGGAGATGAACAAGAGAAGCATACGGCAGAATCTGGTTATCTGGTGGTATCGTGTATCAAGGGGTTGGTATCCATGTGACCGGAAGTGGGGTCGTGTGGCCAAATGAGCAATCAATTCTGTTGCAGAATTCTCTCTTATGGGAGTGGACAATGACACCCAAATTACATATCTTTTACAGAGTCGGTACATAAACCACACCATTTGTACCCTTCTAACCAAGAAATCGAGTCGAGCAAAATTCCTTAAAATATCTGGCACCGGATTCCTCTTGCCTCATTTCCGATAAGTAGCTTCAAACCTTCTAGCCAGCCACTCTCCACTCGTCATCCCCTCCTCAAACACTCTCCCTCCTCCCCTTTCCTCTTGTCCAGCAGCAAGCGTGCCAATCCTGTGCAGCTTTACGTCGTCTGCTGGTTGCAAGAAATATGCGATCGAGAGGCGGGGTCCAACGAAGGTGTTCGCGGGGACTAGTACACGATGGATCGTCGAGGGCCAGCGACTGCCTGTCCAGGCTCTAAACAACAGGTTTGGTAAGAAGGTCTGAGCAAGGGTCTTAGGTATTGACGCACTCCATCAAATCCCCAACATTAACCAATACTCTTTCTGGGCTCGCCGGCACATCCAACCACTCGCCTGCTTCACTCCCTTCTCCTCTAGCCTTGTTGGTGGGTAGCAACACCTGCAAGCCACTTGCATCCGATCCTTCCTGCTGGAAGAGCAGGGTGAGAGAGCCATAGTCGGAGTGGGCGCCTGCGCGAACGAGGGCCTGTGAAGTCGTCGTGGTTGAGGGATAGTACAGGAGACGGAGGGTAGTGCCAGAGGGAGCGGACGGAGCGTGACGCAAGGTGAAATAGTCCTTTTCCAACTTGGTGCTAAGTCAGTACCTTTGAAGCGAGTAGGGAGGGTGAATGCAAACGTCAAGCGAAAGAGCCATTCCTTCGAGCAGATCCATGCAGAGATCGTGACAAGCAGATATGAAGTCTGCAATAAGGGGTACCTCACCCTCCAACATCTTCGGCATCGTTTGCTTCGGCTTCTCAGTATATGCCATGATATTGAAAGCTCTTCTTCTCATCAGCCATCACACTCTCGCAGACTCGTGAGTCAAAAGCGTACTCCTTGAGATCCTCCGACTCTTTCGCATCCAGCTTCTCAACGCCCTGTCCAACCCATCCGGAGTTCACCGGGTGCACTCTTCTGCAGCGCGTCTTCTCCTCTATGCTCTCTTGTTCGAAGAAATTCCGACTCGCAACGAACATCCTGTTGGAGAGCTCGAGTAACTTGGGAGATGGGTCAGAGAGTTGAAGGAAGCCATGTTGCTCCAAGCTGTCCGCTAGAGTTGAGGGAGCAGGAAGAGAATTGAGGGAGACCACGGGGATGGAAATGTTGGACATCGTCGCACACGGAGGGTCGGTGCAGAAGACAGTGATGAGCGGTAATCAATTGTTCTGTTCGATAAGCATCGCCGCCTGTCCGCACGATCGGGTCCACAATCTCGATAAGGGGCGAAGTGGCTGTGCGTTGCATTTCATTCACTGCATGTAGGGTCTTTGCGGTGACTGCCAAGAGCACTACAGTATGTATATGCCCTTCTAGATCTGGTAGTTGCACAGCTCACCTTGCACACATAGCTACCTAGCTCAGCACAGACATGCTGGACAGCCCTACCCTGTACTCTAGCATAACAACCTTTGCTGTAGTTAGCAAATGTAATATATACCTTCACATCTCCATTTGCCTGTCATGCATTAATATTAATATATTATTGTATCAAGGTTAGCATTGTTTGTTGAGCTTGAACTTTGCCATTTGAGTGCATCAAACCTCAAGTGGGTGTTGAGATTGTCATGGTGCTGTTTGATGGAGTCCAGCATTGAGAAGGTATTTTTTATGAAGGAATGTCATAACAAAGGTAAGGTGGGTCCCACCCTACATCTGTGTATACTAAAGTGGATACCCACGGAAGAGGAGCACCATGTTGAAACTACTTGCAACCAGTGAGCTTCAAGCCCTTGTCTGCCAGTTCTTGCAACAGCCCAGTAAGCACATTGGCCACGTTGATGTGCTTAGCAGCACAGATTGTAATAATAACTGTGAAAGTATTAGTGCTCTCACTGTGTCATATGAAAGAATGGACTGACAAAGCACCCAGAACCAAACTGCCAGGTATGGCCTGATCACATACATCCAGACCATTTCCACAATGATGTCAACCAGTGTGACTGGAAGGCAGACAACATACATCACCCACCACACTGCATACTCCAGCTGGTCGAACATCCTCACCTCAGGTGGCATCCTGAATTGTTTTGTCACCCAGTGACTGCTGTGGGACATCGCTTTGCCCATGTTGCAGAGACAATTGACCCCATGTCCTGTGGCAGGAGGAAGATGCCAGAAAAAGTCTTGAGGAGGCACTGCAGAGTTGGCGGCAACCCTGTCTATGGTGTGATGTTCGATGAGATGGGCTTGTGTGGGGCTTCTGTGGTGGTAGGATGGTGAGCTGTTGTGTGACCAGTTGTGCAGCTCAAGGAACAAGGGGGCAGGGGAGGGGGCACATCGTCTGGAGCACATAGCTTGATGCATTCACTGTCCCAGGAGGAAAAGGAGCCAATAGATGGGATGAGGGAGAGCTCGATGTCCTGTTTCAAAGTTAGCACATGCATACATCAACCAGCACCATGACAATCTCAGATGAGATTGGGTTGCTGCTCGACTTCCATTAAACAGCACCATGACAATCTCTTACAAGACATCATCGAGCCAAATGAAAGGACATACCTCTTGAGCTCCATGTCCCTGCTCCTTCTGCTGCATCACTGGGCCACTCAAAATCCCTCCTATCTGTCCCATGGTTGCCAACTGGACAAGTTCCTCCAGCTTGCCTGGCATCCAGTCCTGAGCTGTGAGACAACTGTTTGACAGCACCACTGCAGCCACACATCTGCACAAGTGACTTGCTTCAGGGTCAGGGATGCTGTCACCTATCCCTTGGTGCCTAGCACCAAGTCCCAACTCTAGATCCACCACAGACGTGGCCTCACATGCCTTTCCCTTTCCCTTCAATTACTTTGTGTTGTTTTTGGCATTCTTTCTGCCATCAGAATCAAAGAACCCCAGGAATTGTTCTGTCAGTGACCCTTTGACCAGGCCACTGCCTAGACCACCATCTAGGCTTATGACAGACATCATATACTCTTCGTTATTCTTGGTAGGCACTCTTCTTCAGTAGGGTGGGTGAACATTAGGAAGAAGAGAGGAAGAAAGATGGAATGAGCGGCAAGCCTTTTAAATGATGCAGGATCAGATTCCGCGCCCCCTATTTGGGCCACTCACCACACAAAATATTACAATCAACCTGGATGCTGCTCAACAACCAGGGCAGGTCTCTTGTTTCCAATTACATGGGCATTTTTGAGATGGACAACAAGGCCATACATTTCCGCCCTTGGCCTTGTTTGTCATGGTGCTGTTTGATGGAGTCTGGCAGGAGACATGGTGCATCTGGGTATCAGCATTCAGAACCTCATATAAGTAAGTCATCTGGTTCATAGTCAAGGAGGAGGAGATCTATGCACATGCCAAGGGTCATTGCTGGAACATGTGTACATGTGCCCTGTATGATGTAGGCATGGATAAGTGTCAGTATCATGTGATAAGTGGTGGATCCTCAGAGGCCTAGGAGCACCTCTGACAGCAGAGCCAGATGTTCCGACCTTCCTCAGCCTTTACGACCACCAACTCTGTTGCTTATTACACTGTATTCATCTATTCAAGAAATCCTGTTCCATTATTTAGGGGGGACAAAGTGAGTTCCACATCTATCTAGCTGTGACTATCAAGTGCTAACGCATGTGCAGGCAGACAATGCACTTCAAGTATGACAAACTTTCTCATGGGGATTGTTAGGGCAACACAGGCTGACTAAGTCTGCTCACCTAAGAGTGCCAAGAGTCTAAGCAGGCAACAAGGAAGTGGAGTAGACCTGATGACTAAGACCTATCTACAGTATAGGTATCTGTGGATGATCCTAAGAGACCAAGTCTGAAGAGACAGTCCCAGGCAGAGTAGGCCTTATATTTATACCTCTGTGGTGGAACCTGCTAGAACATCTTGCTTACTCAGCCTAGTCAGGTGATCAGGTCATATGACCAAGGATGAGGTCATATGAGGTCATGCACAGCCATGCACAGCAGGTCACCTGACCATCCAATCCTTCCAGCAGGTTCCAGCACATGCCAAGGTATACCAGCTACTTCCATGTCATAAAGGCTTAGTCATGTCTCTTGACCAAGCAATGAGCTGGTGCCCTGACATCACCCCCCCTTCTAGACATGCTGTCCCAGCATGTTGATACTCCTTCTTCTGCTTTTCCCTTCTTCTTTCCAGATGTCCAATCAAAGAGAACCCTTTTTAGGTGGTATAGTATAGTTAATGAGTGGTTGGAAGTGAAGCCTATCAAAGGTGATGGCTGAAATCCTTCTGGGAGCAGAGGGGTGAAGCCTATGGAAATCTGCAATAGCCTTTTTAGCATTGCCTAGATTTCCTAAAGGCTCCCAAGTGTTCTCAGAGGGAGGATACCTCTTTCCACTTGATAAGGGTACTG